CGGCACAGCAATGAGGAGAGACGAGTGATGGAGATCGATAGGTCGATCGAAGGAGTCGATCGAGTGAAGTGAAAGCGCAGAGAGGCACGTGGCGACGGTGAGGTGAGGAGAAAGCGTAGGATACGGAAGCAAGGAAGGCGAAAAAGATGTATTAAAAAAGTGTAACGGCCTGACTTTATCGAACGCGGACTGGCGTGCGGGATCAGGAGTCCGATGAAAGGCCCAGAGACAATAATCAATTTAGGTGGTACATGCAGTTTATTCAGCTTAGCTTATTATATACACAAAGTGGTATTTTATGTAGCGCCGGGACGGGTGGAACGCGATATATACAACGAAGGGGCAGTGCGGGTGCACTCGTTAACGGACGCGGTAGCCCGCTCTTCGACGGACTCGGTAGTATTTGATATAGCGCAGGGACGGACAAAACGCGGTATATACAACGAAGAAGTAGTGCGGGTGCACTTGATAACGAACGCGGTATCGTTACTCGACGGGCTCGGTATATTACATAGACGTATTACAGTACATAGGCGGACGCGGTATATTACAGGTAGTGCATGTGCACTCGATAACGACGCGGTATTTAGTAACGAACGCGGTATCGTTACTCGACGGGCTCGGTATATTACATAGACGTATTACAGTACATAGGCGGACGCGGTATATTGCAGGTAGTGCATGTGCACTCGATAACGACGCGGTATTTAAGATGCTGGACGGATTCGGTATATTACCGTTAATACCGGTACGCTCGCGGATGCCGCGGTAATATGCGTGCGGGACGCGTAACGTAGGAGGGAAGATTTCCGGAGCCCCGGGGCGGCGGCAGCGAGAGCCCTCGTTGCGAGGCCGAGCGCGCTCGACCCCGCGGAACCGTGCCTTCGGGGTTAGTTCTGAAGGAGTGCGGGAACACCTGAGAGCTCTCAGTCGAGACTCGGAGCACCGGACCTCGTTGGCGTGTTCCCTAGAAGTCGGGAATAGGTTTCGTCTTGGAAGTAGCGGATCTTTAGACGAAGTGTCCTTTTCTCGCCGGAACGGCGGTTTATATACCCGCCCGGCGCGGCGGGTTCGCTAGGAGCGCCGATCGTCGCGATGTGGTGGGGCGGCGCGGCGCCGCGCTCGTCCTCGGGGCGGCTCGGCTCCCGTCGTCGCTCGTCGGGAGGCACCGGTGCCGCGCTTGGCCCGCGCACACGGTGCGTTTTCAAGTACGTTTAAAATGTGACGCACCGCGCCCTGGTCTTCGCCCGACTGGTCGTCGGTCGGGCGGCATCCGGCGGTCGTTAGCCGGGAACGATGCTTAGTGCACGGGGTGCATCGTTACAAAAGAGCAAAGATTAGAGTGGAAGAAAGGGAGAGGAGTGGGCGAAGGCAGAGAATAAAGCAAAAGTAAGTAAGAGGGAAGAAGGAGAGAGGTAGGAGGCACGTATACACACGCACATGCACGAGGGATAGAGGAAGGTTAGTAAAGGCAGAAAGGAAGAGTGAGAGAGGAGGGGTAAACACACACGCACAGGCTTGCACGGAGGGTGGAGGACAAACACGCACATGCACGGGGGTTAGAGGAAAGGCAGAGAGGGTAGAAAGAGAGATAGGGTCAGGATAGACACAACACACACGCACATTCAGGCTCGCACGGGGGGTGGAGGAGATGTGGGAAAGTGGAGAGAGGGGGGTCAAGAGGCAGGGGCTAAGAAAAGTTTAATTGTAGGAAGAAGGTGAAAGAAGACGGAAGAGCGGACGGAAAGCGGAAGTAGAGAGTCAATTAGAGAGGAGAGAAGGGGAGGATGCAGCGACGAAACACGGTGCGGCGCGGAGTGAGCAAGGAAGAGGGAAGGAGGGTAGAGGAGGAAACGGTGAAAGCGGAGAACAGCTGAGAAAAAGGTAGCAGGGGGAAGAGAAGGCGGCAGAGAGGAGAGCGGGGAGATGGAGGAGTCGGAGGGTTTGATGAGGGTGCTGAGCACGATAGCAGAGGAGTTAGGGAGGATTAGAAGGGTGCTAGAGAGAAGAAAAGGGGGGCAGAAGAAGCGGGGAGTACCGTGGAGAGAGGGCAGGAGAGCACGGGTGAAAGGAGCGAGCCGGGAGGCAAGACGGAAGAGGGAAAGAGCAGTGAGGCGGAGTAGTGGAAGAAGGAGATGAGAAGAGAGGTCGCAGGATGGAGAAGGGAAAAGGCGGAGGAAGCGGCAGCAGAGGAACGGAAGGCGGAGAAGAGAGAAGGATAGTTTGAGACAGAAGGGAGATGATCGGAAGATGGAGGGATGGGTGGAGGAGAAGGCGAGAAGAAGAGTAAGGGCGGCGGGGGCAAGAGAGGGGGCTGACCGGGGAGAGGAACGGAGATAGAGGGAGATGGAGGAGGCGGGTTGGGTAGAATGTAAGAGGAAAGGGTCACAGAAGGAGGCGGAAGAGAAAAGGGAAGGGCCACAGAAGGAGGTCGAGGGAAAAGAGAAGGAAGGAAGCGAGAAGTCAAGGAGTCTAAAGGAGAGAGTAAAGAGGCTGGAAGAGGAGAGGGAGCAAAGAGAGAAAAAAAAGAGGAATGTGGTCTGGAGGGGGCTAGACGGGAGGGACGCAGAAAAAAGGAGAGGTATGATGGAAAGGGTGGCAGAGAAGGTGCTAGGTAGAGTGCCGAGAATTAGAAGGGTCTGGGAAAGAAGTGGGGAGGGAAGGAGAGAGGTGCTGATAGTGGAGTTGGAGGATGAGAAGGAGAGAGCGGAGCTGTTGGAAAGGTATGGGATAATTAGGCAGAGGTGGGGAATAGGGGTGGACGAGGACCTGTCCATGGAGGAGAGAAAGACGAGGTTGAGGTTGCTGGAGAAGGCAAGAGAAGAGAGAGACAAGGGAAGAAGAACGCGGGTGGAAAACAGGAGAATATGGGTGGATGGAAAGGAGATTGTGTGGAACGATGACGAGGGGAAATGGGAGAAGAAGTAAAGGTAGGGAGGGCTGGGGGTCGAAGAAGGGGGGAGAGGAGAGGAGATAAGGGGGAAAGGGAGGAGGTTATCCCTGTGTTACAGAGACGGGAACGGTGAGGAGGCGGAGAGCTGAGGTGTTGGAGCATGGAGAACGGAAATAGGGGGTCCCAAGGAAGTCCAACGGAAGAAGCGGCCAGGAGGAAGAAAAGAAGAGGCAGGGTCCGAAAGAGTGGGGGGTACTAGGATGTAAAGGGTCGCACGCGGCCAGGTCTGGTATAAGGGGAGTTGTACTTGTAAGAGGTTTAGGATCGTTTCTCACAAAAAACGTCTTGTAAGCCCTGCGGGGAGAAACAATAAACGCATACAATACAATACAATACAATATTTAAGCCAAAATACATTTTAATAAGAATCAAATTAGAACTAAATTTGGGTTAAAGCCGTAATTGAATCGAGTAAAAGTCACGTATAGAACACATTAACTTTTTACTAAAGTCTCATATATATGAATATTCTGCATCATGTATGGTTCTGGGATCATATATAATCCGCAATGTAATGTAACGTAACGTAACGTAACGTAACGTAACGTAACGTAACGTAACGTAACGTAACGTAATGTAATGTAATCATACTATTATATAAAACCCGACTGTTTGTCTGTCCGTCCGTCCGTCCGTCTGTCCGCGAACTACTCATTCGTTAGTGGACCGAATTTTTACCAAAAGTATATAAAACAGGGGTAGAATTTTCCGGGGAGTGCCATGACGTGTATAGTTTTTTGTTACCGATTTTCTGGAAACCGGTTTTTTTAATTTTTTCAATTTTTCCTGAAATAATTGACCGAATCTCAAAGAATTACGTATGAAACAGGGGTGGAATTTTCCGGAGAGTACTATAAAGTGTATAATTTTTCGTTACCGATCTTTTTGGAAGCCGGTGTTAGAAATTTTTCAAATTTTTCGGGAATTAATTGACCGAATCTGAAAGAATTGTATATGAAGTAGGGGTAGAATTTTACGGCGAGCGCCATAATGTGTACAGTTTTTGTTACCGATCTTTTTGGAAACCGGTTTTTTTAATTTTTCGGAACATAATTGATTAAATCTCAAAAAATTATACATGAAGTAGGGGTAGAATTTTCCGGAGAATGCTATAAAATGTACTATTTTTTGTTACCGATTTTTTTGGAAACCGGTTCCGAATGATCATATCTCAAAGAATTGTACATACAAAGTAGGGGTAGAATTTCCC